AAGAATTCTATCAAAACAGATCCATTGAATGATTCTATCAAAACAGATCCATTGAATAATTCTATCAAAACAGATCCATTGAATAATTCTATCAAAACCGATCCATTGAATGATTCTGCAGCGAGCGGGGCCAGCAGCGGCACTGCGCATGCGCGGCCGGCAGCTGCAGTTCCGGCCCCCACCAGCAGGCGGCAGCACGAGCTGGTGGCGCTGCCGAGCCCGGCCCGGCCCCGGGGCTCGGGAACGGTTCGGGACGGAGCGACCTCAAAGCGCGGCCGGGGCCGGCCCTGCCAGCCCAGGGACACCTTCCCAGGGCCGGGCTGCTCCAAACGCCATCCAAACCCGGCCTTGGACCCCTCCAGGGACGGGGCAGCCACAGCTTCTCTGTGCCAGGGCATCCCCACCCTCCCCGGGCAGGAGCTCATGGGAAGATGGGCGGTGATGTCCTTGGACAACGACTCCGTGGGTCGGGGTCTTTGGGGGAAATGGTTGGCAGTGTCTTCAAAACGGGTCTTGATGTCTCCACAGAAGAAGACAGAAGTTTGGCACAGCCATTAATCAATGAGTGGTGGTGCCTCTGTCCCCTTTGCTCTGTTTTATTTTTCATCCTTTTTGTTTTTCCGGTTTTTTTTCCTCCCAGTGCTTGTTTTGGTTTGTTCCCTCAAATCAGGAACTTTGTAACTGGTCAGTTCGTCCTTTTTTAATTGCCCTGAGCAGCCCCTGGCAGCTCCTGGTGCTCCAGATCCTTCCCCAGCTCCGTCCCTGTGAACGGAGAAAAAGGGAGGAACGTTTCCCCATCGCCTCTTTGAAGATCGAGATTTGGAAAACAAAGCTTTCAGTCACCTTTAACAAAAACTCCAGGAACTGCTTTATTTTGGGAAACGAGGCGCCGTGCAGGAAAGGCGCTGAAGGAGCTGTGGTGGATTCATCAAGAGAGCCAGCAGCAAATTTTGGGGAACTTTTGATAGGCCAGGCAAGCAAGGATCAAACATTCTATAAACTTTTGATAGGCCAGGTGAGCAAGGATCAAATTTTTGAAAAACTTTTGATACATCAGGAGAGTAGAAGTCAAGTTTTGATAAACTTTTGATACTCCAGATGCACAAGCAGCAGATTTTTCACACTCCAGGCGAGCCAGCAGCAATTTTTTTGGTCCATCAGGCGAGGCAGCCAAGGAGCTTTAGGAGGTGGCCGTGTCATTGGTGCTCCCCAGCCCCTCCATGGGCAAGTGGCCAGGTGGCCCCGGCACTGGTCAGTCCCTGCTGTCCGTCTGTCCGGGGCTGTCCTGGCAGCTCCAGCCCCCCCCGCTGCTCCTGGGGCCACTCTCGGAGGGGCTTCCCCAGGGTGGACCCTCCTCACTGTGACCACGGTGGCCACAGTGGCAACAATGGCCACGGTGAACCTTGGTCACCTTGGTAACCATGGTGGCCTCAGTGGTCACAGTGATCACGGTGGCCACGGTGGCCAAAGTGACCATAGTGGCCACAAGGGCCTTGGTGGCCTCATTTCTCTGGGGGTCCTGGTGGCCTTCAGGATCATGGTGGCCACAGTGGCCTCCGTGGTCATGGTGGCCTCGTGGCTCAGAGGCTCCTGGTGACCACTGCCATGGCCACAGTGGCCAGGAGAAGCCCCCAGAGGTGGGGGGAGGTCGTGGGGAGGGTCCCACCTGAGGGGACAGAGAGGGGGGTCAGGGGGCCATGGGGGAGGGGTGAAGGGGGGCCCTGAGGGTCTGGGGGCCATTCCGGGGTCCCTGTCCCCTGTGCCCAGCCATGGGTGCCCTTGTCCCCCCAACCCCAGGGCGTGTCCCCAGCACGGGATGTCCCTGTCCCCCTCACCTGGCACTGCCGTCCCCATCCCCTGTGCCCGGCCATGCCTGTCCCTGTCCTTGTCCCCAGCACCGGGTGCCCCCTGTGGGTGTCCCTGTCCCCTCTGGGCCATGGGTGTCCCCAGCACAGGGTGTCCCTGTCCCCAACCCTCACTGAGCGTTCCCACCCCCCCAGGGAATGTCCCCCTGTGACATCACCTCTCAGTGTCCCCATGCCCCCCTGTGCCACTGTCCCCTGGCAGTGTCCCCTGTGCCATTGTCACATTGCAGTGTCCCTGTCCCCAGTGCCACTGTCCCCTCTCAGTGTCCCCTGTGCCACTGTCCCCTGGCAGTGTCCCCTGTGCCACTGTCAACTTGCAGTGTCCCCTGTGCCATTGTCACATTGCAGTGTCCCCTGTGCCACTGTCCCCTCTCAGTGTCCCCTGTGCCATTGTCACCTCTCAGTGTCCCCAGTGCCCTTGTCCCCTGGCAGTGTCCCCTGTGCCCTTGTCACCTCTCAGTGTCCCCAGTGCCACTGTCCCCTCTCAGTGTCCCCTGTGCCCTTGTCACCTCTCAGTGTCCCCTGTGCCACTGTCCCCTGGCAGTGTCCCCTGTGCCATTGTCACATTGCAGTGTCCCTGTCCCCAGTGCCCTTGTCCCCTCTCAGTGTCCCCTGTGCCACTGTCACCTTGCAGTGTCCCTGTCCCCAGTGCCACTGTCCCCTGGCAGTGTCCCCTGTGCCCTTGTCCCCTCTCAGTGTCCCCTGTGCCATTGTCACATTGCAGTGTCCCCAGTGCCATTGCCCCTGGCAGTGNCCCCTGGCAGTGTCCCCTGTGCCCTTGTCCCCTCTCAGTGTCCCCTGTGCCATTGTCACATTGCAGTGTCCCCAGTGCCATTGCCCCTGGCAGTGTCCCCTGTGCCACTGTCCCCTCTCAGTGTCCCCTGTGCCCTTGTCACCTTTCAGTGTCCCCTGTGCCATTGTCCCCTCTCAGTGTCTCCTGTGCCCTTGTCCCCTCTCAGTGTCCCCTGTGCCACTGTCCCCTGGCAGCCACTCGCAGCGGTGCTTGCTGAAGTTCCCGGCGGAGCGCAGCTCGATGTTCACTTTGTCCCCTTCCCGCGTGACCCCGGTGACCTGGAAGGCCTGGAAGGGCGGGATCAGCACCTCCCTCCGTGCGGGCTCGGAGGAGAAGTTCTGGATGTCGGTGCCGTAGGCCACGAGGAGGGGAGACGAGGATGGGCTGCAGGAAATTCCAGGGGTTTCTTGATTGCTTTGGATTTTCTGTCTGGTCTTGGTTCAGTAACTCCCTGAGACGTGTGACTCACACGGGGCACTGGATCACCGGAGAAATTCCCGATGTTGGCACATAATGGGATGGAGTCCTTTAGGGGTTGGGCCCGGGGAGGGTGGGGATGCCCTGGCACAGAGAAGCTGTGGCTGCCCCGTCCCTGGAGGGGTCCAAGGCCGGGTTTGGATGGCGTTTGGAGCAG